GCTGGCAAAGTCTTGACTGGGGACCATCTGGAACATACCTTTCGAGTACACCGCCATTAACTCAGCGTCTTAGAATGTGGATCGCTGTTTTCCAACATGTTTGGCCATATTCCATGCAGACGGAGAAGGGGACACCCCAGTCATTGAGGGAACACCTTGTGAGACACACCCATGAATCACTTGCGTCGAGAGGCCAACGAAGGGCACCTGAGACTCGACTCTCGACCTGTTGGTCTTACTACACGCAGTATAACCAGTGCGGCACGCAGGCACGCAGTCACCTCCAGGCAAGCTGATGGCCATGCCACTCTGGCTTCGTTGGAACACGTTGGAACTCACTTGTGGGAAGTATCGCTCGATGTTGGGACTGTTGGGCAGGGTCTGGCTTGGAGAAAGAACATGCCTCAATATATGAGCCCCGCCCCAGTTCACACCACATCAAGCTTCCCACCCGTTGTCGCGGTGCTCGAACCCGGCCTGGTTCTGGTTCCGGAAAGCTGCGTGGAGGCGGTACTTCCGTGGGACCTCGGAGACATAGGATACATGAAGGGAAGAAAGGATTGCCCCCCTTCTGTTCAAATGGTTTGATGAAACAAGCCAAGCATGGACAACAAGAAGACACATCAAGTATCATCAAGTGACCCTCCCAACAGAAGGAAGCATCTTTCATCTTGATGCATAGCTTTCACCAATGGCACACCGGTTTTGGGTCAGATCTTCCACATGATGGGCCTCATGCTGGGGGTAAACCGTACAGCATGGTGTTCCATTCCGAAAGGCACAGAGACATTAGACTCATTAGACACCAAAGTGCTACCTCAGGTCATTATATAACCCAATGCCAATATCATTGCTATCGTTTCCATCAACTCGAAACACAAGCAGCACAGAGTTTGCAACGACTTTTGAACATAACACATCACCATGGTACCGGCTCAAACTCATGAATTCGCAACGACGTTCCTGTTTGGGAGTATAAAGTTGGGCAACCCAAATGATGTTCTAACATGTTCTAGGTTCCAAATTTCTATCTGTAGGCATCAAGGTCCACCAAGGTGGACGTGAAACATCCCCCCTGGTCAAACCACTTCTGGTTACCCTCCGATTCACATGGATCCCGGGATTTGATCAGAAAACCCGTGGGTTGGTCCGTGACCGCGTCGTCCAGCGTCTTCAACGGCTCCATCTTTTGAAGGGTCGGGCCGTGACGGATCATCTGCAGGTGGGGTAACCTCTCCCTTTTCCAGAACGAATTGTTTCGGCCCCTTCGCCTCACAGCCAATATGAGAGTTCCCCTACATCGTCTCGGCCGTGGAACAAGGGGCCAATTTGGGGGTGGCGATAGGGCAAATTGAAGGCCTCATCCAAACTGTTCTTGAAAGACTGCCTTCCAACAACTCTGAAACCATCAGAGTTCATGTTAGAATTCATGAAAGCTGAGGTCGAAACAACCTCCCATCGCCTGCCGTTCGTTCTCGCGCTATCCCCAGCTTTCCGGAGCCCCGCGCCGGCACCCGGTTCTTGGAGGCGCACGACGCGGAGCCTCGGCATGTCGGGTCCGGCTACCCACGGCCTATGGAGATGGCACTGTGGCACTGGATGGGGTGGCACTGGTGCACATGTCCAAGGTCGCTCCACGTCGATGGTGCCAGACCATTTTTTCTGCCTGCCGCATGGTTGCAGCCCTTAACCACTGTCCAAAAGAGCTACCAAATGCTCCCAGGTACTCCTTCAAATGGCCCTCGTAGGTAGGCACTTGCGGATGTCAACTACGCTTCCTTTATTTTCGTTCCAAGTCCTCGCATTATTATTACTAGTCACGTCATGTCCCACCAATTTTTTCCACAGGGTAAACATCGGCCCAGTGTCGACCAGGTTTCCATCGGGATCCAACCAAGTTCAGTTCAAAACCACACTCACCTACTTCCATGCGTATATTGGGGGTCAGGCCAATCTGAAGAGCTTGGTCATGTGATGTCATGCTTTGTTTTTTTGGGGGCACGGGGTGTCGGACATGGTCATCGTCGATGACATGGTCATAGCGGTACCTTTTGTTCAGCTCGCACGGGCATCCATCGCCCAATGAGTCATCTTTGAGGAGGCAATCACCTTGAGTCAGCGACACCGGTACGCATTGCTGCCGTGGCGGTGAATTCATGCTGCGTCTCGCAGGCTTAGCAAGGCCAACACATAAATTAGGACATCCATTCTTAAGTGGTGGAGCTGAGGATGGGGTTCTTATGTTAGTAAACATGACTCCTAGCGGTGCGACAGTATGCACAAGCAAAAGCGGTTGCGGAAAAGAACAGCGTGCAAGTAGTTGATGCAAGGGTTCCTAATAAGTTATACGCACTGGCAATTAAAAAGCTCTTGTCCGACACCTCTAAGTACAAATTGCCTTCTACACAATTTGTCTACTAGCTACTGAAATTCCCCAAGGATCATTTTGGGAAATGCCAATTGCCCCCGGCCACTAGAATCAATGGCACGGAGCCACATAAACCTAGTTTCTACCGAGGACTCGCCAAACCACATGGCACAACAACATCACCTTTGGAAACAATCTGATGGATACTTTACCATCGAAGAATATCAATCTTTTCAGGGTGTTCAAAGACATGTTCATATCCGTTAGCTAAGTATCTCGTGACTAGCTCAAAGTAGAAGTTTACTTGGCTAAGTAACCCTCACTTGGCTAAGTAAGTGCCCCTTACTTGGCTAAGTAACCCTGACTTAGCTAAGTATCCTCTTGTAGCAAAGTAACCCTTACTTAGCCCTGGCCCGCTCGAGCCCTGGCGATACGAAAGGGGGGGAGTACGATGGACACATTGGTATTACGTGTCGGGTTTCTCAACCACAAAGCAAAGCCTAGCCAACAATTGCAATGAACATGTAAAATATGAAACAATGATTATATGTTTAACTGTTTAACTTTAAACAGTTCTCATTGACAAGGTGTACTTGATAGGATAAGACAGTTAGTTATTACTTTAACTATGTATTCCGGCTTTCCTCGGGATTTGGAAACAAGGAATTTATGTCTTATATAAAAGTTAATTATGTTACGTGTTTTGAATTTCTTGTTATAAAGAATAAGTGAGGTTAAGAGCGTGTAATTATTTAAGTATTCCGGCCCTGGGGTTTGGAAACAATTAATCTATTAGTCAATTATATATATGGTTTAACTTAGTTCAGCTATATAATGAGTCTATTCAAATACATGTTTGGTTTTCTTCAAGTTGTCCATGATCTCAACCCCACCCAACTTCAGGTTGGTGGTTTCTTGGAGCATCTGCATGTAAAATCATGTAAATGTATCTTCTAACACATAGGATGTCCTACCACTGTACTCTTCTGCAGTCTGCTTGCACCATCTTGCACCTTGTCTGTTACAATTGAGGACTCAACCCTGAGAACGCATGAAAACACAAAGCAAATACAGTCAAACAACGATATCTACAGCAATCTATATAGCCACAACCATGGAAAGAAGTACAAAACGTCTAAAAACACAAGAAAGCCACGCCCAACCAAAACAACACCGACATAGCACCCCTCTCTCCAAACTTGGATAACAAACGGTTGTGCAACAAGAAAAAGAAAAAAAAACCTCCGATTTGAAGGTTTGTTGATGCGTTTTTAGTGATCGATGGGTCCTAGGCAATCTTTTCCGCTTTGAAGCTCTTCCCAAATTCCTATCTTGGGGGATCTTGGGGGTCCTCCTATTTGGGGATAGCCTGATCAAAATAAACTGGACCAAATCTGTTCTATTGGAGGGGAGGCGGGGCTCGCAGTTTTGTTGGGGTAGAAGGGAAAAGTGAACACAAAACCTTCATAAACTGTGACAGAACCTGAGCAAGAGTTGCACCACCCAAACACTCCATGTATGCCATATTTGCCTACATTGGGGTGAATGTAGGCACATATATCATACATGGAGTGTCTGGACCATGTTGTACCTGTTGCTATCTGAACCGACCGTCCTGTCTTTCTTGGCTCGGTTCCCTCGCCTTACTTGGCCATTCGCTCGTTGAACTTGCGGCGCTCTGACTGAAGGTACAGCACCAAAAGAATGGCGATAGGCAGCACCTCGGGGTGTCCGTGATTTTGCAGAGTTCGACCGGGACCCGGGTACCTCGCGTTTTCCGGGTCCTTTCTCAGGTCACTTCACCTCGGGGACGTGATATTTTCTCTGTAGCGTCGGGTCTTCGAAGAAACGATTTCAAGCCAGTGGTGGGTCTGACCAGCGAACCCAGCGGCTTGGCGAGGGTATCTCAGCGGCTGGTAGTAGAGCAGTTGATATGTTTGGTAGCCTCTTCCTTGGTGATGGGGGGTGCTCTTATTCAGTTGAATTCATCGAATACTCATGCTGCAGCAACTAAACAGCCGGAACCCAGCTGGACAGTGACACCCAAGAGCACTCATTTCTCCATGAAAAGCTGTTTCATGCAGCCTAAAGATTGATCGTCGAAACCCTAGTGGGTTCCTATTTGAGAATGTCGGGTTGCGCTTCTTCTAGGAACCAAGGGAAAGAATTAATACCCTTTCTGAAGAATGTGGCCCATGTCCACACAAGGCCCAAGCTCAGCTGGCCAGGCATCAATCTACGCATGTGTTGCTTTGACCTCCAGTTCCTGACCGCCCCCGGACATTTTTCAAACACCCAGATGCCAAGGTCACAATGTTCGCCCACCACCTGGCTGATCCAAAGGCACGTCTTCAACCAGCAGCGCTTCGAAAAACGTCGAGGAAAAAACGAAAAGCGAGGCAAGGCCAGGGAAAGCGATTGAAGAGAAAAACACCAACACGGGCGCCACAATGCTCACATAAATCGATCCCGTCCAAAGCCCTTTTCCAGGGCATGGCTATGTCTGCTATGTCTTCCACTCAGGGTCAAAGTTGGGAGTGCACCCCCATCCAATCGCTGAAGCAAAGTAGCGAGTGCAGCAAGACCAGCAGCGTAGGCAGCAGCAAAAAAGGCAAGACCAGGTCACCAACAAAATGCCAAGTGCAGCGCATCTCATGCCAAAATGGTTTTACAGTAAGGCGGCATTCCTACCCAACTGAGCACGGCCTCGACGGAAAGCACGGCCAAGACGGAAACACCCATTGGGCAGTTCGGTGGACTGGTGGGACCGGTGCTGTCCAGCGGTCCACGGTGCTCCACGCCGTTTCCGCCTGTTTTCACGCCGGTCATCCATCATTTCCGAGAGAAACCCCAACCCAGACACTCCATGGGACTGCCATATATGACGATCAGTTGGGGTGGTGCCAGGAGATTTCAATGAAGGCGCAAGGCATATATGGAGCGTCTGGGAAAGGATCCTAAAGGAAACAACACGTTTTGGCGTTTCATGTCCAAAACGCCTTTCTGATTTCTCTGTGCTTACCGCGGTGCTGCACCATGCTGCACCGGCCAAAGAAGCCTTGCCTCCCCAATCCGAACCCCGTCCGATCGTTTCTCCCCACTGGGCTCGCCATCTGCATCCCAGCGGCCCCGGGGTGGACACCTCTAACGCCGTCGCCACGCTGCTGCCCAACTCAGGCACCGCAGCAGCGGACGTTGCACTGCGGAGGTTGCTCCGTGTGCTGGGAGCGCGGCCGCACACGAAGCATGTGGCAGCGAAGAGGGTCAGGAGGCAGGAGAGGAGGACCTCAGGCTCAAGAGGTCAAATCGACAAAGAGATTCCAAATCTGGAAGTTCCAAGTTGAAACATCTCAAATATGTAGCTAATTGATGAACATGCACGTGCATTCACACAACAACTTGGCAAGCGACACTGTCAATCCAAGTCACGCGGTGCGCCATCTCGAGTTCGAGAGAGGTGATAAGTCCGGCGAGCCGAATCTGAACCAAAAAAGTCACTGAGGTACCAGGCACGATCAGCCCACCGGCCTACCACCTGGTGCAGGTGCTAAGCAAGCATAGCTTAGAATCCTTACCACAGGGGAAGCGTGGAAGCCAGGGCCGCTGCTGAGATGGAAGTGGATGGCATAAATACCTTACAACTGAACACCCAAGAGGATCCAAGATGTGGTTCTCGCCAGTGAATGTGTACCCAAGATTGCTCAAGTAAATATCTTAGATTTTGCTTCAGGCTCAAGGTGACCATATATATACCCAGAACTTCCAACGTCGCAGTTTAACTTAGCCAATGAGAAACGTCGAAGTTAAACTTGTACACCTCAGTGAGTCTAAGTTTTACTCATGTTAGTTGTCTTAAACAGAACAGACTCCGCAGAACGACGAAGTTTAACCTGGTTAAACATAGACAGAAACAACGTCGAAGTTAAACTTAGCCTTTGAAGATTAGGGTATATATATTACAACAAAGCACATGCATTTATCCTCAAAGGAGATTCCATGCGATTCACCAAAGGGATAACAAAATCACCCAGCAAGCAGAACCAGGCTCGTCTTCACACCCCAGTTCGAAGGATCAATGCCTCTAGTTCGAAGGATCGGGTCGATCGTCCGGATGAGCGGATGATGGCAGGGAGCCATAAAGCCCAAGTAACATCATAGGGTACTGTCAGGTGCTGCTGGGGATCCTATTGACCTCTGTGCCTGGCAGATTCTAAGGTCAACAAGCAATCCAACACGCAAGTTCTGGTGTCCTCGCGGACCAGTTCTGGTGTCCTGCACTTGACAACCAGTTCTGGTGTCTTTCTCTTCTCCCTCCATTTTACAGGTTGTTTTTACCACGTGTCTTCTCCCCATTCTTTCCAGCACGTGGAAACACAGCACCATGTCCCTCCGACCTGGTCGGACCTGGTCTCCGGACCCTTGAGACGCGACGAGAACTCACGCTGTCCATGGAGAACATGGTCTGACCAACCTCTTTGGGCGTATATGCAAGTCGTTATCAGGTTATATATGGTTATATTCATCTCTCTTTTGTGTACCAAGCATGCATTCATTCTACTTCAAACAGCCTTCACCATGTTTTTCTGTGGAGCCACTTGTTGGAGAGTTGCTACGTTCTTTTGTTCGGCGGTTTTCGACATGTTGTTAAACAATTCGGATTTGCTACGGGTAGGCCTGCTACACTCCTTGATTTGACAATCTTTGTTGGTCATATTATTGGGTAAAGCAGTATTTTGACAAAACAACTGAAATTTACGGCGTTTTCCCATAATGACCAGAAAAATGTTGGGCATTTGGCTTTGGCTTTTCGGGTCGTAATATACTGTATATTACTGTATGCCGCTGGAGGGCCAAAATAGTGGAAATAATCTACATTCTCAGCGGAAAATGTTCATACCTACACCATCCTACACCAAATCGCACCCATGCACAGGATGGACTGCCCGTCGAAGAGTTGGCGGCCGCTTCTTTCCCAAACGGAAAGCCATGTGTGCCTTCCTCAAACTTTGCAGTTCTTAAACGGTCATTTCAAACTTACTCTTTCCGTAAAAACAAACCAAAGCGAAAAAGACCACGTTAAGCATCGTTAAACAATCATGAACGCATCCAGGTTACATCCTCCGAATTCAGAATAGAATTTCACCTTCTTCTTGGCCCGCAGTTGCACCACGTAGAACTCCCTTCCACCGCTCTCTGGAGCAGTGATGGAAGGTCAGAACGGATGTGTTAGGAAACCTTCTAAGGGAGGAAGGTTTAGTCACCCATCCTTTACATGAATTAATTAGTGTGTTTCTTGTATGTTCTCGGTGTGGTTTTGGTTGATGTTGCAAACAAACACCCTCTCTGGTGTCTTGTTCACACACGGCACACCCAAACGACACCCGGGCTGCCCCGGCAGCCGTTGACGCCGTGCAGGGAGCAGCCGCGATCCCGAGTCCTCTCACAGGAGTTGACCCCTAAGGGTTGAGTGGGACATGTTGGACCCTATATCAGCACCTCCAACAGGTCACCAATTGAAACCTGTTAGGGCCTAACAACCCTCCAAAGGAGACCTGTTGGAAGGTGCTGGTAGGTGTTCAATGGATTTAGAGTTTAAAGTCTTTATCGAGTCTCGATGTATCATTCTATATCCCTTATTTCTCTTTGTCCTTCAGTAGCTCAGAACTAACTTCTTCGCCACAAACTGCCTTCGATCCTCACTTTCCGAGCGGCAAATTGCCAGGTGTGTGGAGAACATGATTGCGCAAGAAGCATCCCAAATGAGCGGAATTCCACTTGGAGGTGGAGGAGCATGCACGCCTATGATGTGGCTTGCGAACACTGATATACCACTTACCTTCGATTTTTTCCACAACACATGATGACTTGGCACAGCAATCCAAAACCCACAACTCGTGCAACATGGCACTGAGAGTGGCACTTGATTTGTTCGAATTCCTTTTGGGGTCGACTCCGCCGGTGTTTGGCCCGTGCGACGCTCTCGCGTCACCTTGCCAGGTCCAACCATCCGGACCGACGGCGGTTTGTCCCACAGGTCCCAGGAAGGTCCACCGACCAGCGGTGAGTCCCAGGTCTACGGATGTTTGTTGGAACAAACAGTAGTAGTCGTAGTGTTTAAGCTTTGGAACTCACATGTGATTCCAATTTGGCGGATTGAAAAGTTCTGGCCAATCGCCAAAACCCGAAGGTGTTCTGCAGACATCCACTTCTTTTCCTGGGTAGGTCATTCCAACATACTTCCAACATTCTATGTTGAGAATCATCTCAAGAAAAAGCGGCAAGTAGTCACCTGACATGTGTCAGAGATCATGATATCAATTCATATCATTTCTCTCCATGCAGATCGCGCCACGTGTTTTTCTCCACCCACGTGCGTCCAGTCCAGTTGTCAGAGCTCTTGTGTGTGCGATCCAGCAACTCCTCGCATGGCCACCACAGTTCAGAACGAGAATGGCTTTGAGTTTCCCACCCTTTTTTGCAAAGACCCCTTCGGTGAACCCGTCAAACCTTGAAAAAAAACATGGTCAACACATGTCAACACCGGGTTTCGAGCAATGTGCACCATCTATAAGAATAAGTGTCGTGGGAGGAAAACCAATGGATTCAGGTTCGAGCCATCCATGGTGGGCCAGGAATGGTGACCCCAAGGCCTCGATCCAGCTCCCGCTAGCTTGGGGAGCTTAAGCACTCATCGGGCCTCCAGAATCCCCAGAGACCTGGTCCGCTCTTTGGCACCGGAACCCTGGTGGACTCTGGTTTTCCCATGGGTTTTCCCGTGTCTTTTGACTGTTTTCAGGGTGGGACCCGACCTGATGACTCACCAAGCTGGAGAAGAACCAGGTCGCTACTGTCCATCCGTCTCATGTCTGTTTCGATGGTTTCGAGTCATTTCGAGCCTCCGATCCAGGAGACCCTCCGATCCAGAAGACATGCAGCGGTCCACATGCTTACCCGGTCGAGACGCCTGCAGTCTTGACAGGACAGCGGGGTCTGCAACCTCGACCAGTGCAGCGAAAAAACACGGCAAATCCCAACGATGCTGATGGAATGATTTCATGTTCAAGTGAGCACAGCCATGGCATAATCAACCAACATTGGACACACCGAAACCAACATTTTGGACATCAAGTGGGCTTCGTCTGGGTTCTATGATGTTATAATGTCTATGTCGCAGTATCTGAGTGCAATCCAGAATCCCAAATAATACATGACTCAAAAAAGAAAGTAAGACCTTGCCCCAAATCCGTAGCTGCTAGCGGTGGGAAAAACGATGAACAACGACCGGAAAGGATCAGATTTGACCAAATCTCATGTAATTAGACTGATTCATAAACACACCCATTTGGATGCACGGACTTGCGGGCACGCTCCCACACCTCCCCTTGCTCACAGGTGGAGCGGGTAAAGGTGGTCATGTGAAACGGTCATGAAACATGAAATGCTGCCATATGTACACTACGACGAAGGGGCATTGTGGCACAAGCGAAATAGGCATGGCGGCAAGACAGTACATGTTTCTCATCTGAATTAGGCTAAACTCTCTGGAAGAGTTTCAAAGCAAAATCTGCAGCAAATTTGGAGGTCTGTTGTATCCGGATGGGAGAAAGTATCAAAAGATTTCTTGGTTCTTAATGCATTACGGATACGTATCTGAATTTTTTGCTGTTTGTCCGGGTCTGCCTCAGACCAGTTGGGCCATTTCTTCATTTGTGTATAGTTTTGTAGAGGGAGAATTGGAATGTTTGCATGATATGGTGGATCACCAGGCATGGTGAGGAGCAAATCTTGGATATATTTGTATGTGAGGTCACCATTAGGTAATTCTGGCCTACATGCGAGACCACCTTCATGATCGGTAGAGAATCCTAGAGCAACAAGGCTGCGGGAGCCTTGTTTTTTGTAGGTTGGGATGAATTTCGTTTGCGAAAATGTGTGAATGTGCTTGACAACCCACCGGAAGCTTTCCGCAAGGTTACGAAGGGAGCGCTGAGCTGGTGGTTGCAGTTGGACTTTTGGGTCATCCAAGGGGTACGCTCTCCATCCTTTGTCTATACGAATTTTAACCGGCAACGTTTGGCCTGACCATAGCATGAACGAAATGGCGAGTTCTACCCAGGAGATACCAACATCGGTGCGATCAGGACTAGTGGCTTCTGGTGGCCATTTAAGAGTAGTAAGGAACTGCCAAACTAATCGTGCCATATTGATGCCCCAGGTGCAAGCCCAAAAGACTGTCTGATGTGGTTCAGGGGGCAAAGGATGAGCCTCTGTAGAAATTAGCCATTGTGCGTTTTTTCGGAGTCTGGACTGTAAGGCAGACTGGCTACCTGTACTTGTTCCTATCGTCGCTGAATCTTCATTCATACGAAAAAGGCCCATTGGCATGTCTTTGTGCTCCTTAATTTTATCTTCTTCTTTAAGCGTACAAAAATAGGCTACATCTAACATATACTGCCAAAGTTGCGGAATTTATAATGATCTTGGACCTGGGAGCACAATTGGTCAAAGGCCACAAGATCGGTTTTACGTGCACTGACCGCTGCTTGATCTGCAAAATGGTTACCCCAAATGTTGTGGCAGTCAGTAAGGGAATGTGCATCTTGTGGCTGTCTGTGGGATTTAATCTTAATGACATAGAAACGGGCAGTGCATGAGTCTCTGAATCATATCCCAATGAGATTGTTTATGTGGTTGTCTATCAATATACTTGTGTTCAATAGCTGTCACGAGATTTGCGACATATTGTGAATCTGTACAAAAACCAATACGTGCTGTAGACGGTGTCGCTGCAACTGATTCAACTGCAACAACGAAGGCCTGGAGTTCTGCCCTGTTTATCGTCTGGAGTCCTGTGCAGTGGCCAGTTGCAACCACTTTGAATGTTTGTGTCTGAAAATGTTCATCACCTGTCTGGCGTATGACAACGGCCCATGCTGCTCGGGAGGCGTAGGGGTCTTTGGGGTTGTCACACGATCCATCTGTGTATAGTATCACGTCATCATGGAGGTGTGCGAGTGCATCCTGGAAGGATGTATGAGTACGTAGGTGCATGGCTTGAACAGGTAATGGGAAAAAACACAGGCGTTTGTTATCTTGCAAGAGCTGTATTATTGCTTCTGGGTGTTTGTCTCGAACCTGCTGGAAGGCTGGGCATTCTAAGTACTGATGCGAGTGTGTATCGAGCATGTCACACCTGGGACATTCGGGTGTTTGCGTGGCGGACCATTGGGCTATGCCGGCATTGGCTTGCCCCATGCGATGTGCAGTTGCTGTTTAATCTGTTTATTAGAGTTTGTTTTTACGTTGAGACGAAGGCCACCTGGCCCTAGGACTGTGGCCTTGGGTGTCATCTCCCATCCAAGTTTTTTAAGATATGAGGCTAACGCCGTAGCTGGTCCTTTAACTTGACTCTGGAATGCACAGACTTCTTGAACAAATAATTCTGCTCTCTCAGCGTGATAGACAAAAAATCTGCGCAATGTGGTCAAGAGATCTGTAATGACATAGAGTAGTGGGTCTTGTATTCGACGGGACAGGTAATGGAGGGCAACAAAGCTACTGGCATGTTTATGGTCTCCCACGAGAACGTTAGCCGCTGCTCGGCTTAAGGCTTTAAAATGCTTGTCTCCTATTACTTGCCCGAATGTACCGTTTTTCTCTGCTCTTTCATCGAGGTCGAGGTTGAGTTTTCGTAATCGATTGCATTTTGCCCCAGCATTATCCATCTTATCTCGTACAGGTCCTAAGACCATTGTATTGGAGTAGTGAATCATACATCCAAGATCATGGACATTATTTTTAATTTGGAACGTAAAAGATGGCTGCATGAGGAGGGCGGAAGCCTGCACCCAGAATTCCTTAAATTGCTTGGATGTGGCCCATGCCCAAGATTTACTGAAGTCAATTACCATACGGAGGTCCTTTACCAAATTTAGTAAAATCTTCATGGCATGAAAGGCAGCTCGTTCTTAAGTGGTCATAAATGACCAGTTGTCAGCGTATGCATATGGTCGGAGCTGCGGGGTACGTAGTTTATGATGAAAGACAAAGCTGAGTGCTAGCATCCCCACCACGGAGAGAGAGTCACCTTCCGGTAAACCCGTGGTGGAAGTCATTGGGGGCCCTAGGTCTTTCCCATTCTGCAGGGATCTGGTCAAGCGTGTGAGAGAACTGAACCAACAATTGATGGCGGTCCTGGGTACCCCAAGCATCTGGAGGAGGAATTGAATCACTCGCCGTGGAATAAGGTTGAATGCCTTAACCAGGTCCATAGTCCAACCACCCCAGGCTGTGCGGTTGGCTTTGGCATGAAAAGTTGTTGGAGACTGAGATCACGTGTTGAACGCTGTGGCAAACCGCCACTTAGCTCTGGGGGCCAGGTATTGGCCCATTGATGCAAAATTTGGTCTGCAACGAGCTTAGAAGTTAGTCTTACAAGATAGCCAAGAATGGTTATTGGCCGTCCATGTGGCATATTCTGTGATTTTTCACACTTGGCGAACAGTAATGTACGTGCCTGCATCTGTTGATTTGTAAGACCGTGCGACCACATAGCTTTCAGGAGATTAGTCAGATCTACCACCATGGTCCACGTAAGTTTGTGAAGTTCTTCAGAATACCAGCCATCCACCCCAATGGCCTTTTGCGTCTTCATACGTTTAATAGTAGTCCAAAGGACTTGAGGATCATCGAGTACAACCAACAGTGGCGGCTGTCTTGGGACTGGCCTGGAGTTCACTAAAGAGGTCAGTCCAGGCATCATCTGATTTCTGTTCGGCCGGCAAGTCTCGTTGCCAAAAAGGAGCCCAGGATTGCTGGAAAATTTGGGACATTTTATCGATATGGTATGCATGTGTCGTATAACTGACTGTCGCACAGGTTGGCAAAAGACCTTGCACGTTTGTGAGTTTAAGTCTATCATGGCAGTGTGAGACAATGGTTGCTGTTGTGTCACCAATGCGAATGGCGGCTCCTGCAGGTATGGTAAGTTGTTTATTAAGTTGTATCACTGGCTGATCTTTGTGAGATCGGCACAGGGTGTACTGGCTAGTGCATGTCTCCGGCACATCCTGCAAAAACCTTTGCTCTTTATGTTTGATGAATCTATAGGCTGCTGCGTTGTTAGTGTGTGCTTTGGCAAATTGAATCGAGTGTTTACGATGGTTACGACGAAGAATTTGTTCTTGACGAGCATATGCATCGGAATCAAAGCGAGTGACTTGTAAGGCCAATTCAAGCCAATCCAAATCAGGGACTGTGGACGGGACAAATGGAACGAATTCGAAGCTCAATAGCCATGTAGGCCATGAGTGACCATAGCCTTGTGCGACACGGATGGCACGCCATTCTTGCTCAATCTGGTGGTTATATTGTTGTTGTTGCTGGTGTCTATTGTGAGCTTAATCTGTCTGAGAAGTGGTGCTATGCGGCGTACCTGCCTGGTCTTTAACCTTGCTTTGCATGTTGTAGCTTCAACAGGAGGGTTGTAGGCGTGTGTGGGGTCTTCACGTGCAGTCTTGGGAAAAGTGTGCGTGACAAATTTTGTCGGTGCACATCGCCCAAAAAATTTCTTTGGTAGGACTGGTTGTGGACAGTGTAGGGGATCGTGATCGTGTTGTGCTGCGACTGTCTTCTTGACTGCGTCTTCCACCCCCTTGGACCAAGAATGAAATGCGGCATTGATATCTGCTTCAGTATGCATTGTCTCAAACTGCGGTTTGCGATACTTCGAGGTGATGTAAAAATGTTCAAAGAGTTGTGGATCAAGTGTGATATCACCAACTGCAGGGCATATCCCAATTCTGCGATAGCCTCTGTGTTCCCGGGAGTTGGAATTGGACATAAAGTGGTCTATGATCCGGAAAGACATGTTCTGGCCCTACCCACATATTACTAACCCATGGGACCAAGGCCTCGTGTATCACGAAAGAATCATTGCGTGTTGTACTTCGGCAAGTTGGTGGTAAATCCTTTGCAAATTTGTGACGTGCCAAATCAAAAGCCTCTTGACAGCGGATTGATCTAAATGCCCGAAAGGCAGGGAAATCAATGACTGGATTGTTAAAATCTGCAGCTATCAAGAAAGGCATGTTACTAGAGGCACAATGTTGGTACAACTCTGCAAGTAACAGATCACTTTTATTCTTGACTTCTATGGCGCGACTGGCATAGAAATATGCAGAAAAAAGTAAAACTTCGATGTGCCCCAAAAGAATGACTCGTTGGCTAACCCGCAAGGTGTCCTGGAGCCATGTAGGGAAGTCATTACGGGAGGCCCGATGTGGTGTACGATGTAATGAAGCTGTTCCTAATGCTTCTCCCCGTCTAGAAACTTGATTCGAAAGGGCATTAACTGAGCTCTTTTGTGGTGCCACTGGGAAAATTCGTTTTGAATTGTGGATGTGGCTGATGTTTCTACCAATGAAATGGCATCTGCATTAAGTGCGAGTATGTCCGCTTGTCGCTCCGTAAGCACGGTTGGATTAAGAATGGCACAAGTAAAATTGTGGGTTTGATTTCCAGGTCCAGGATTTTGTGCTTCCCCAATACGTCGACCTGCATACGGGTTCCAATCAACATGTGGCCAAGATATGGTAAGTATTAACGAGGTATGCCAGAGGCGGATCTGAACATATGAATTACTAGCATGCATACGACCCAAGGACAGGTCCCGCCCCCTTCTGAACCGCATCTTGTTTTCAAAGCTCAACTGGTGTTTGGTGTAGGTGAGGCGTTCAGACCTCAATGCATATGAATTTGCAGCATGGTTCGTATTGGCAGTATCATCAGCATGGCGGGATATTAGCAGGCTAACTGGACACGATGCGCCTTCAATCACCAACCCGCCTCTAAGCTTCTGAACCCTGCGGCGAACATGCGAACATTTGGACGGTGGCATCTGCATGGCACTGGACCGAAAGATTAATGCATCTGACTGTGACTTCGGTATGCATGAGTACGATAGGCCCCAACAGGTGGAGTCCGACAGAGGTCTGCGAGTCACTGTTAATCATGCATTTCGTCTTGGTCGGCAGGGCTCTTGCGTGCTAACTGCCGCATTGTCCCCTCCGGAGGTCCTCGATTTAATCTCTTCTGACCCAAGTGAATGGCAACACGCACGTATTACTGCTTTGGATTGATCTTCCATTCGAACAGGCAGGTGAAGCTTTTTGCATTGATCTGTTCCTAAAGGGCAAACATGACCCGGCACTACCATCATGAGGTGTTTAGGCTTGTGGCCAATGGAATGAACGAATGACAGGACTTCGTCTGCATCAATAAACACTACACCTGAACTGGTTGGTATTGGTGGGTCAAGCATCTTTAATTCTTCACCAGCTTGTGTCAAGAACGTGCCTGGTTCAATGGATAACGAGCTGGCCTGCACTGGTGAGGTTTTAGCATATTGATGGTTCCAAGCGGCTCGAACTCGTTTACTCCGACCCTGATCAAGGTCGTGTCGTGTTGGCAGCTGAATCCTTGTCTGGCGTGCAATGATGGCGCACTGTTGAGCAAAGATGTCACTATCAGCAACGTTCACCAATTGTCTCACGCGGGCTGCACCTGCTTCTTGATACAAGCTGTTAGTGAATTGTTTGGTTTCAGTGGGGTCATATCCCACCCCCTTCTAGACTCTGCACTCGGTGGATGTGGGTTGGGCGCTTCTCAGTCTGCTCAATGTCAATGTACGAGACTAGCAACCAGTCGGGGTTGACACGTGCACCGGAAACGATGGTACGAAGCGTATCATTTCGACCAAAATGCCGGCTCGCCTGTTCCCATGCGACAGCGACAGCATCTGCTTTGCAATCCTGAGGGACGAAACCCGACCACAAGAAACTCGACCAAAGCTTCACCTTGACCCATAATCCCGTGGTATTTGCTCCAAACTGTTTTTGGAGCGTGGCGTACATGAGGCGTGTTGCTAAGAGGCTAATCATGTCTTGGATGGTTGTTGACACTGCTGTTGGGATTTGACGGATGGACAACATGGCTTGGTGCGGATCTGCATTCTCTGCTGGAGTCTGAATATCAAGCACAACTTTCCATCCTAATGACTTAAGATCATCTGTGATACCCAGCTGCGTGTAGAGGTGGAGCATCTTAAGAGCAGTGTTGACTCGTGTTGACATACAAAGTTCTTCCAGAGCTGGAATCCAGTACTGCTGGAGATAGGCATCAGTGTCTGGTGAGTCACATAGTACGTGCGCGTCCACGAACAGCATGTCTGGCGTCTCTAAGTCAGGCTCAAGCTCATGTCCAAGATGGTTATGTGCACGCAGCCTACCCTGAATATGCATCCCAAGATGCATGAGGACTGGCTCGATTGTACCTGCTGATTGACGTGCAAGCAAAAAGGTCCCTAACGGTGTCAGGACGACCACTACCGGCTGCACCGCACGATAAAATCGACTTTCATCAAGTACGAGTGGGCCGAGCCACACATCTTGCAGATTCATTCCTGAGGCCGGCATGTCATCAACAGCGAACAGAGGCAATTCAACTTGAGTATCACCTCGTGGTTTCCATTTCACACACGCATTAACAGGTAGCCCAAACATGTAGCGGAGCATGCCCAAGATCTGGATCCCTTCTTGTACCCGGATGGTCAAGTGCCCCCTATGCATCCCGAGGATCAATCACCTCTTCTCTATCTTTAGCGGCGCCCGCTTGTTCAGGCAAGTCGCCAACTTTGTCGACAGTCAACAACTGATCCTCAACGCCCGGAATTGAGCCTCCAGGAGGTCCAGCTTTCGCCTTAGCGTCAACCTTGGGAACAGCTCCTTGCTTGCCATCACCCTTGTCGCAAGCTGCCAATTTCCGTTTTGAACCAATTGTGACCACCGCAGGTGGTTGGTTCAACTCCACGAATCTTTGTTCCTCCTGTCTGGTAGAATCCATGTAGCCAAAATTGTATAGCACCGAATCACCTTTCTTCTCTCAGAAAAGCCGACTCACCCTTGAATTCATTGGTTTGATGCCATACAACAGATCAGCCCCCTCCACCAACGATCCGTGTAGGAGAATTGCCCGTTTGGACAAGCGGCGACTCCGATCCGGGTCATTCCCACGCGGCATATAGCCACGTCGGGAAGTCGACCCATCGTAGTATAGGAAGTCTTCTCCTAGACCGATGTCAGTACCAGAGCTCAGATAGCCCTTGGAGTTGCTGCCTCCAGTTGCACGAACTATGTTCTGAGTCACGAAGGGCACCAGCAGCAATGGATTGTTCCACACACCCACACTCGGACCATGAGAAAATGCTAAGATCGAAGTGCCTTGGAAGGATGGTGGCTTCAAACTTGGCCATCTCCGTGAAGACCGAATGCGATTGGCCTTCCACGATCATGATGCCTCTGCTTTGTACTTCCAGGTTCTGAAACGCTTCTCGGACTGCAACCGCTTCGTCCGTTAGTGCTCCGACCTCATTATACACTGGTCGGATCCTTTCCGGAAGCATTTTACTACAAAGCGGCTCATAGGCTACCCAGGAGGCTACATTGTGCATTGGTCCAACACCACATTCATCATTTCTCACACCATCAGCGAATGCGGTGGAGTGCCAGTTGAAAGTCAGTGTTGTTGAGTTGCTCAAACGCAAATCAAATAATCCCGAGTACCTATTAAAAAACGGACCCCTATTAAAAAAGTCATGTCGGAAACCCCTAAGTACGGTTTATATTTGTTTTTAAATTACCGCCCTTTCAAGCCGCTACTGAACTACCAACATTGCCGACTTTGGAGGAGTTTTTTTTTAAATTAGGTTCCAAAAACAACCGTAACTGCCCACCTCTGTCCGTCCTGTCTATCCACCATGACACGCCGCGCTTACACCAGCAGGCTTTCCTTCCCCCAATGGCACGGACTCACGCAAACGCACTTGCCACCGAGGTCATGCAACACCGCATGGCACAGCGACATCACCTTTCGAAAGCTTTAGCTGTTAGTCTACTGAAGAATCACTATTCTAATGAAGGTTTTTGTAGGGGAAAAGGAAGACCCTTGGATCTGGAGCTTCTTTGCATTTTGATACGAGTTAAAAGATTTTATACAAAATTTTGCTGATTTACTTTTTGGTTTTGAAGCTCTTCTCAGGTGACCTATTTTGGACACCCCGATTTCAGGGACCCCCTATTAAAAGAAATGCGACCGAGGTTTCCTTATTAGGGGGGGGCCGAGTTTTTTATTAGGTGGACCGGATTAATCTCATCAAATTGCTCACCATGATTTCACCAAGCCCAGTTGGCTTGAGTGCATTCCTTTTCCATATGGACTCGAATCTGGGCCGAGGATCCCTAAGGTCCACTCCGTCCGTAGACCATCCACCCCCTGCCACAAGCGCATTTGGGGACAGCGGCACCATGCGTAGCGCTTGAGCAAGCGACCTTTGAAAGATCCCGTTCAACCCAGAGACACCCATTTGGATTGAACATCATCTTCAGGCTTGGGGGGTTTATGGTCCTCAAGAGTCTGCATTGGTTATCTCCTAATCAATGCTTTTCACACCCGATTTGGACCGATCTGCACAGATCGCCGGGCTCCGCGTCCCGCCCACGCCTGCACCAGCCCTTCAGCGCCATCCACCCAATGTGCTGGAGCCACATCCTCGCACAGATCGCCCCCATCACACCATCCGCCCACAAGATCGAGGATCACACCATCCGCTCACGAGATTCGACGTGAACTTCACCGGTGGGGGGGTTTTGCTTGAAGAGAACTTCACAGGTCGAGGGTCGGAGGGGTTTTGCGAACGTGCAACCCACCGAATCTCGTATTTCGTTTCAAGGCTTTTGCTTCTCTCTTGCTTACTAAAGGATACTAAAGGTCCTCATCTGCGAAGCACTGAAAGCGGGGTACAGCTGAGAATGACCACACTTGAGAAAGATTAATGAAATACTGAAATTGCCGTTCTCTCAATGGGCTTCTTGAACATCAAGCATGCCAGTGAATGTGCCACTCGTTTGCTGCTAAGAACGGTAGCAACTCCACCAGGAGAATCCAGGTGATGTATAGCGCATGGCATGTACATTTTGCACACTCTCTGTGCAAATCTTGTATGTCATGTCTAAAGACATCCTTGGCCATCGCGGAAGGCCGCACATGGGCACATGTTTTGACCAAGCTGTTCAAACAAATAATTAGGATGCTATCAAGGCCAGGTACTGCCGAACAATCGCATTTCAGGGCAACTGAAAAGAACACCCTAGCCTATTAGTTCAAAAACTTGCCAATCTGTGTTTGCAAAGGACGGAAATTTACGACACCAATGTGTACCATAGGTCTCTTGAACCCTTAGTTCCTTAATTGCTGAGTCTGTCCTCCACCACACCGCACTGTTCCTACGGCATTTGAACCCGTTTTCGCCCTCAAACACTGGGTAGTTGGACCGCAGGGCGGTCGGTCGCATCTTTGGCCTCCAGGAAGGCCGTCATGGTGCGCATGGCCAGGTCAGAGCGATGCATCGAAATCTTATGGCCACAGACCTCGTCGCTTCATCCGATGCGCCGAAGCACGCGGCACAGACCCGCGGCAGCGGGTTCAAGCAGTCGACCGCGCGCTTCTGCGTGCGTAAGCAAGGAGGTGGAGGGAGGGTTGGGTTCACAAAAAAGGCGTCGTACATAATATACACATAGGATCATATGTATAATTAGGACGTTTTGGAAGGATCGAACGTGTCATAGCTGGGAGTTGGGCCATGGTGCAGGGGGGCACGTAGACTGGTAGAGATCCCCTTCAAAGTGACGTGTCATGACGTGTCTGGCACATGTAGCCTAGAAAGGCAACTCCCTCCAAATGTCCAGTTTCGTCGGAAATCCAAGAACTAATTTGTCAGAGTAATAGCCCAAACCGGCACAAACCTGAAAGGCTGGCTGGAGGCGGAGGCGGAGGATGAAGTGGAAGAGGTGGTGATGGCAGAATGAACTGAAGTACATTGTACATGAAATCTGAAGGCCCTCACATGGCAAAACTGAGGGTCCTCATCCTCTCACATCCGCTCCCACACGTCACGTGCTCTGGCGCCCAAACACACAACTGTGCAACTCCTGAAGCGTCGCCTGGGTCAAACGAAAGGACAGCGAGGACAGTGCTGCGGAGGGGGGTCCCAGGGAATGATGGAGTACCCAAACACGACCGATGAGGACTGGAATAGGACTGCCGCCCCACACAGGCCCCTCTGGCACCACCCCAACTGATCAGCATATTTCATACATGGAGCGTCTGGGGTATGATAACCTTGCAAGAAAATGAGACAAAGGCAGTCAACCTGAGCAGCATAGCCGAAGTCACAAGCAGCAAAAAGGACACTGCCAATGAAAAAGAACATGCCCCCGAAATACTCCCAAACAAAGTGCACTGGCTTCATTCTACGGCACGCAGCACGACAATGTTCGACCGCACTTGACCTGTCACGGAACACACAAGTTTCCTGCAAAACACATTCTGCCATCACCGATGACCTGGCCAATCTTGGTGCGAAGGAAGGCTCATTGAAAACAAGAACAGGACCAGGGGTTCGTGTGATCGCATTTGCCAAAACATGGTTCCATGTGGTTCCATATCCCAGGACAACCCAGAATGTGGAAAGGGATGAACGTGCCGCCGGGCATAAACAATTGTTTGATGATGTTCCTTGAGCATCTTGACCGTAACTCATCAAAACAAAAAGGGGAAAACATGATGGTGCGGCTCTTTCGTGCAATGACATGCAGCTGACACACAAATGCCGCTGCGGTTAACAAGGGTGGATACCCATGCGTGATGTTGCACCACGGGCACGCAAACCCTTGAATTTGTTCCAGTGAGGGAGCCGCTACAAACCTGGAGCCTAAGGTTTAAAAAGGAAAAAAGGAAAGTACATGCGCAGGTGTGATTCTTGGGAGACTGGTGAACGGATGTTGGGCCAGCGCATGCTCGAAGCAACCTACAACTCCACACACCCCGACCTTCCAGCGACCACCCCAACCTGCAACTCCACAACTGTTCCCTGCAAGGTGCCCGAAGGCTGGAACTCTTGACATCCGCAACGAGCGCCCTCGCCACCTGCTGGAGTTGCCGAGCAAAACGCTTAACAATGACATCCCAAAAAGGCAAGCATAAGATAGATAGCGGCGAGACACCATGATAGCAACATCAACATAACTAAGATAAATACAAGCTTTTGGGCGGTTCACGTTCTGTTTAGAAGGATGGAATACCCAAAAGCCACCCTGCATTCCTTTCACACAGCACAACTTGTGCTTTGAGACACGGCGTTGCAACAGTGATTTGGCAGTAAGTTCAGAGTGCTCAGATTGCTTCTGAGCTTGAGCCCCTCGAAGGCAGCTCACTCATTGCTTCTATGGCGCCACTGGCTCTACTGGCGATGCTACGCGCAACGCGCTGTGAACATGCTGGCGGCAAACAGCTGCTGGGCGCCACAGCGCCGCAAAAAACACAGGATCTCACACCAAACCACCCAGGAGACCAGAAGCAACAGGCTGACCTAAAGCACACGCTCAGCAACAGCAACTCGATATCTCCGATCGTGATCTTCGCTGGGATAGCGCGAACTGTGCGAACTTTGTGAGTATGCAAATGTCTTGTAATAAGCATTTTGTCATGTGCTGGCAACCAAATCGTCCGATATGAAAGGAGCAGAATGTATGCCTTGTGAATGTGCAGCACAACAGCACTATTTGCACAGTCTAGAGGCACCGTTGAGACCCAATTCATTTGGTGCAATGACAGAATAATTGGGGAGACATTCTTTGGTGCTGGATGGACAAAGCGTAACCCCTTCCAACCGTACCTTCAATGTACAGAAATTACAATCAGTATGACGAACAAATACAGCAACATGCGAATCGGTTCCTTTTGGCTCCATTATGGTGCTGCCAACGAAATGAGGGAATCACCTAGACAGCTGACCAGCCGACGGGGCATGACCCAAACAATCAAATTAAGGATTGGATTAAGGACCGGCCGCCTCACCCCACAAACCACTGGCATTCGGAAGTGGCAGCCAGCGACCTGCAAACGAGCTTCCTCGCAGCGATTGAAATACAGGCCTTCCACAGTTCACACCATATGACATATGAGTGTCCGAAGAAAAGCAGAAACGAAGAGCCAGGAAGAGAACTGAATGATCTTTTGAGCTTCCGGGGGGCGCCGCTGCGTCGGACGCATGACATGGAGCTTGGCTTAACTAGCTCCAACACTGCGCAACATCGGCCGTGGCCTGCCGTGGCCCACCTAACCCAATGCATCAATGAAGCTATTTAGTATCTTACTTCGCCAGAAACCAAGCTTATAAGTCCACAGACCTGGGTGGACTTGGTGGCCTGACCCCCCTATTTAGTATCTCCAAGCAAGAAAAAGCCATACAACATTGATCAATTCCCAGAATGTTTTCTTTTTCCAATGATGCGGGCTGTCTTTCCCCAACCGGCAGGATTAGAAAGAACATTGTGACCTCAGCTGCAGGGCATCAATCAGTGTCTGGCCCAGTCAAATGACAAACACCGCACAATGACATACCAAACACCGTGTCCGAAAAATGTGTCCCGCCAATGGCCGGATGCAAACAGCAATACGTTGACACGTCATGAATCATCATGACATCATGACAGCACCAAAACGAGAAAACTCAACACACACACACAATAACAAAGCCACTGGCCTGACACACACATAACAACAACAGCCAAGCATGACCACAACACTTGACACTACACAAGAACATACACGACAACAAACAACTCTCAATGACACACCTTGTGTGGCATCACTAAGCTAAATGACATCACGACAACACACGCACACGCACACACACACACACAAAATACCTGACAAACCCAGGACCAACACGGCAGCACACACTCAACAACCCGGTTGCCGGGGCCCCAGTCCCCCCCCACCGTGGGTCGGGCGCGACCGGTCGAAGTGAAATAGGGCAGCCGGTCCTGGACCGGTATGTAAGTTGAGTCTTAGTTGATGTCTGATTTGGCTCCTACTCTGACCCTATTGATATATGACGCTTGGAAATTGAGCCTTGCCTGTGTTCCATTTTGACTTTTGGCAGCCCGCTGAAGACTACGTGTCGTCATTGAGTCCTTGGCTTTGCTGATTCCAATCCAAAGTGAATGTTCCAATCAAATTCCTGCGTGAAATCCTTCAGTACGAGAAGAACTACCAGCACTTGCCAAAAAATGAACCTGTCCTGTGAAGGGTATCCCCATGAAGCCATCACGCACTTATATATATATATATATACAGCCATTATTTTGTAATATATCAGGACTATTCTCATACCCCGCCAAATACAAATCTCAGAATCTCCTTTCATCTCCATTCGAGAAAAGAAACCCCTCCCCACTACACTGAACAAGTGTTTTCCTCCGCGCTAATTAACCACCTTTTGTGGCCATTCCAGAGAATCCTGCCCTCCATCTAATGTAAAGAACAATCACTTAGGGGTCAGTGGTCCCCTGTTTGAGCTCCTGTTTCCTCATCAAACATGGACATGACTTACAAAGGAAACAACGCCCAAACCCCCAGCTCCAAAGGAACATATATAAAACCTCCTGGTTCCACACTCCAATCCTGGCGCCATGCTTCCCTCATCTTCCCTCCCATCTCTGTGCTTCCTGCCTACGCGGAAGCGGCAGGGTCGACTACTCGCATCGCTCGACTGGCAGATTGGCGCTTTGGGCAAGGATTCTACCCGGACACCTGGAGGATCTGGACAAATGATAAAAAAAGGAGGTGCAAATCCAAGTTTTGTTGCTTCCAAATGTCACACACATTTTGGCCATATGCTGTTCAGACTAATTTCCACACAGAAATCACTTCCAACCTGTCTCCCCCTTGAGAAAGAACCTCCAAAAATCTTGACAAACGCACCGCTCCTAAAGAGATCTCAGAGATGTTCGGCCTCCAATCCCAGGGGCAAATCCAGCTCTAAGTGATCTTGCGCCCAGGCACTGAACATCCTCGCAAACGCGCGGGAGAACTCTCAACGTGCCGAACCCAACGACACGCCTTGGCGCGCGAAAACCCACACGATGCGGCTCCGTCGAGGTCGGTCCAGGAGTATTGCGGAGTGATGGAACCCGAGAACAAGGGCACACCACCCAAAAAGGCCTTGAACACTCTCATCTGATTTGCGGTCGATGAATCCAGCGGTCACTTGAACACTTAGCACTGGAGCAATCGGTCCCTTTGACAACTCCCCTTCTCTTCCACATCATCCACTAGGACAAAGACACAGCTGTGATCTGGATGACTTCAGGCAGTGAACACTCACCAGCAAACCGACCAACGGCAACAAAACAAGCACAAATACATATTACATACGGTGGTCATGCTTAATGCCCCAAACATCACATGGAGGAAGCACATAGCCGCCATACGGATGACGCACATGGTTCCACGATGGTACGCTTGTGATTCCATGCAGCACAGGAAGAACGGGCACGGCACCGTCTCCTGAAGCCAATTCGACGTGAAGACCTGCTTGTGTTTCTATAAGCACAGGCTTCGACGTCAAGTGGCGAAAGCACGTTTCATTTCTTCGTTTGGTTTCGTCTTGCTGTTTGATGTGTTTTTTTTTTGGGGGGGGGGGGGGGTTGTAAATGCACAAATGTGCCCGGAGCTCTGAGCTATCCAACTTTGACAGGTTTCAAGGTCTATATTGACTCTTTGGAACCTTAGAACCTTAGGTTGCCTGCTCTAAGGGCACGAATCCACGCACTTGGCAATGGCTCCTGAAGCTCACATAGCCATGATCGCCGCTGACCTAGGCCAAAAAAGGATAAAAAAGGGAGGTTCTGCTAACTGCGATTTCGATCTGGTGAGGGGCATGGAACCATGCCATGGTTCATTTGGGCGTGTAATAAAATTAATTGTCAAATTGGAGACCTCTAAGGCAACGACCCCAGAAGGAACATCGACCAACATCCATTGGTTGGGTGTCTCCCTATTAGAACACACACCCATTTGTTGGAGGGCTCTTGGACTCAACTGGCAACTGGTGAATATCGGCGCTTCGCTTTCCTCCGGGCCCAACAAACGTGGTCTGCTTCGAGCAGAAAACCAGCGACCCACTTCCAGGATTCCATGTTCCAAATTGTTTCATGTTCAAAAAAATCCACGGACACAGGGGTCGACTTCAGGACTCCTTCAGGACCAACGACGTCCCTGAGACCTCCCCACGACCGGTGGCGGACACGACGCCGCGGTTCGGACCGCACTTTTTGCACCGGAGTCGGAACCGGCCACAACTCCACATTGCAGGCACCAACGCCTGCGGGGCGGGTGCGGTCGACTGAAGGAGTAGACCGAACAGTGAAGTCACCCTTCCAAGAATCGATCTGAAGTCATCAGATCATGTGCGAAGAAAGAAACAAGCTGCAGAACTGGACCCTTTCACTTGAAATAAGGTATATCCTGATCCATGTGTGTTGTCATGTGGCAAGCTGGCATACAACCGCGTAGTCAGTCATTCTCCGGCAAAGCACCTATATCCCAGACACTCCATGCAATGTATGCCATATATGCCTACATTGGGGTGGCTTGAGGGGTCAATATATGGCAGTCCCATGGAGTGTCTGGGTAATGTCTCATGTTCCGTGTTGCTCACCGGTGGAATCATGTCCAAAAGTGCCGGACGCATCGTCGAAGAAGACGTCGACCACTTTGCATCCCAGGAATTTCCAGGGTGCAATCGATCGAAGAAACCCGGAGCCTCTAAGAAGGGTGCTGATTTGTTTCGTCTACCAGTCTACCACGCTTCACGGGAGCCCTAGATCTTCTCTCTTGCTTGAAATATGAAAACAAAATCAGCATATCCTGCCTGCATCCCAGGATTTCTGGTCTCTACAAAATGTACCATACAAAGTCACTTTGCTCCCACTGCCAGTTGTGCATACTGTAAATATCTAGAATCTAAAACCTGAGTGACACCTGCTTTAGAGCCAAATCCTTGCCTTTGTCTATCAACACGGAGGTCCAATGGGCTCACACGGCATGCTAGATAGATAGATAGATTCCAATACCATGGTCCAATTGAAACCACGACCCCTCTTCGTTCATCTGCGCTTCGTTCATCTGCGCCTCGATCATCCACCTCAGAACAAGAGAAAATACACTCCCTTGAAAAAAACACATGGCTACGTGTGTGTGTGTGGCATTGCCGCATGGCCCCGTCATACGGTCTATATAACCCAGCCTTACGACGAGTCCATTCACGTGGTGACCGTTCACATCACCACCACAGATGGGTGAACCAGGGTGGAAAGTGTAGCTTTTCGATCGGCAAAGCCCGACAAATGGCCGGTCTCGCTTGTTCCATCACGTTGTTGTTAAAGCTAGGAGACCCAAACACGACCCTTGGGACTGCCAGTCCGGACTGCCGCCCCGACCCGCAGTCAACCACCCCTGGCCTGATCGGCATATATATGGCAGTCCCATGGAGTGTCTGGGATATGTTTTGTGTAGCCATCAGGTTCAAATTTATGGTTATATAACGAACCTTTGTACAAGTCTGCCCGGAAACTGCCCCCAGTGGCCTCCGGAAACTGCAACGATGGACATTCCCTGTTTGTTACGGTCTTCATCTATACCGACAGCACACCAGCCATCACCCAAGACTGGCACAAAGGGAGAGAGGGAGAGCATGAGGATACATGAGATAAACATTGATCCATAATCTTCAACTTTGGCCTTACAAGGCTGTACCCTCTGCCACCTCTGTTTCCCGAAATCTGTTAAACATCTCAAAGCGGATGGAGAAAACACCTTTTAGTGGCTTTGCACTGCGCGTCCGAGGCGCATAGACGTGGAAGGCCACCCTCGCGCCTTTGTCGAGGTGAACACCTTCCACCAGGTCTGATGCTCCTGAGATGGCAAAGGCGGGATGCCGTGCTGGCGAAGAGCGGCCGCTAGCCGCCATGTTTTCTATGGTGTTCTATAAAAACTCGAGCCTTTTTGTTGAGCCTTAGTAAGGTGAGAGTCAATAGGTCGCATGTAACAGGAGCGCTTGATGTGGCCTTCGTATGTTTAAATGTAGACAATGGCACAAGCTGGAGTTGCCCGAAAAAAACTCTTGACATGTCTTGACGATATCGGTTCTGACCCAACCCCGTAGCAAGCCGTGTGCTCCAGAACCCGAATCAAAATGACCATGAGCAGCGTTCCATGTTCCATCGAATTTGTGCTGGATTCCTTGGGGAATGTCAAGTGGTGTCAAGTGCAAAGACCCTCCAGGATGTACCTGTTTCCCTTCCTTTAAGCGGGGGTTGGATGGATTTCACTCCTCAGCACCTACGATTCAACCCCTTCAATCACATTCAATCACCACAGTGACCAGGCTCGGACGTACAAGAGCGCCTCTGGCGTGGCCTTCTCAGCTGCCTGCGCACGCGTGGCCAACCGACGAGGAAGGCACACATCTCGCACCATAGATCAAACACTGAATCTTCCTAGACAAAGTGAAAACTTAAAATACACTATTTCTACTATATATAACTATTATAGATTAAATTGCGGTGTTTTCAATTGAAACGCTGCATCATGTTTGTTCATAGCCACAAATCAAACTTATATAACCCGGGCAAGGCGGCCAAATTGTTCTTTTCCAAAGAGGGACCCCCAACAGAAACCGCACAAAAAACATGACAAGACGCAGCGCTCCACACATTTCATCAGCAGCTGCCATGCTTGGTCTCCTTCAGCGATTATCCTCCATGCGCCACGACGACTGACCCTGCCTCGCGCGCTGCACACTGGGCTTGTTGCATGAGCTTGGCCTGGCCCCCCAACGCATTCACACATTCGTAAGAGCGCATGATGGTGACAGTGATGATGGTGATGATGATGACAACGACAATCATGATGATTGTACTGGAATTGGAAGAGCTGCACGGATATTACCCTCCCTGCGACAATCATGCAAATGGACGTCCTGACCCCTGGAAAGACCATTGCTCTACAAACAGGGGGTTGTCCATGGTTGTCCACTTCAAAATTGGTGCAGGGATGGTATAGCTTGGTGGGTATGATACATTCCAATGCCCGATCCTTGATGGGCCCAACTTCTGGCCCTTCGGCGGTTTGAGGCTGAAACACGTTCCTCCTCCACAACTCAAAGAACGCTGGACCATTTTGCAAGGCGCTCCTGAGATGTGGTGGTTTACCGTCAACATGTCCATTGCGACCACACATGTTGTTCCATAGTCACTTATATACATGTGTTGCCGTATAAAAACCGCAATGATGCACCACTGTTTTGCCAACATGCTGTATGAGCAGGCTATTCTTCCACCACCCTGACTCTGCAGCTTTCTTGACGCACTGGCTTCTTGACGCACTCAATCATTTCACAATGTCCACTGACATGCCCCAACCGCGGATGTTTTCCGCTGATATCCTTTTCTCGGGCGCAGCTGCTCAGCAATCTTGTTCTCTCGGATCTCGCTCAATCTTTCTAAGCCTGGCAACCTGAAAGGCTCGAAAGCATCCACTGTGATCCACCAGGATCCAGTATACAGGTCAAACATCAACCTTGGGTCTATCCCATTACCAGTAACAGTGGATGATGATCATGATGATGATGGTGATGATGATCAGTAAAGGCCTTCTTCTAAGATGTGGTGATTGAATGTAATTGATTGCTTACCAACTGTTATGGGACAGACCCAACATTAAACCAACGTTCACATTCTCAGCTCATGCGCGCGTCTTCATTTAGCAGTGCGTGTCGTGGTAGACACAGTTGTCGCTCCAGCCGTCTCGGGGCCGTTAGCCTTGGAGACCGCGGCGAACGGAGGTCACTCTCCCTAAGCATCGATGTAAAGACCCTCCTCTAGAGTGAATAGCCCCTGGTTTTGAGGATCCTCGATTCTTAGGATGCCAACAACCTCAGAAACATTCTGACACGTCGGCAAACGGTCGCCTCGCGTTCGATCATTTTCTCCATTGTCTTGGGAGAAAAACGTGGCAACACTGGGCTTTGCCAGCCAAATCGACCAGAAACCAACGAAGCAAAAGGATAGACCGACTGGGATGGAAGGAATATGGCTATAGCAGCTAGCACCTACCTGCTACCCATGCTGAAGGAATTTATGCCTCCGAACAGCAATTTACACAGCAGCACAAACAAATTTATTCACAAATTGCAAGGACCCCTTGCAAGGACCCCTCGGTACAGCAACTACAGCTTCACTTGGCCCTGGAAAAGAATCCGGTCGGTCTGCCTCTGTTCAATCGAATCGAATGAAACATCTATACACACCCATGGTTCCAATGCTCATGAACAATCATGAAAGATGAGGGACGTCCTTGGTCTAAGATGTCCATCTTCTCTGACGTTCAAGGCAACGAGCTGAGCTGAGCTCCAACGAAACCAAACGAAACGCCGCTCCGGAAGGCGTCCAAGGCGTCCAAGGCGTCAAAGGCGTCCATTGTGCCGCATCAAACGTGCGAACACTCCGACACCCTTGGGCTGTCTATTGCGACTTTGGCCTCTCAAAGTATGAGATGCCCGTTTCTTATCCGATCGGGGTCTGGCCACCCACCTGCCAGCGGCCAAGGAAAGCCCGACAAAACCACCAGGTTTTGTTCGTCCACATCAGCTCCGTAAGAGCTGAGCAGCTCCGCAAGAGCGGAGTTGAACGGTATCCAGTGGTTTCAAGAGGAAAAATGGGCACGCTTCCCCCAAGATGTCCTGAAAAAATGGGGGGGTCCATTTGGCCAATCTTTTGGGGATTGTGCCATCTCTGGAACCACTATACCGTTGAT